ATTTGGAAGAAGTAAAGAAGGAAGAAAGAGGACTGCAGCAGTAGACTAGCCTACTTGTTTTGTTTGAATTTGTATTTTGTCTTCATATTTGCACCTTTTTCCTCTCTGCAATTTGGGTTGAAAAGGAAATCTCCCATTTGTTCCCTGCTTTAACCTTTTTATCCGAACCAAAAAAATTCACCCCGTAAATATACTCAGAATAGCTACATTCTTTCATTCTTTTCCTCCTCAATTCTTTTTAAGTTAAACCAAGAAGAGATTTAAGTAACGGTAGAAGAAAGTACAAGACCATTTTTCTTTTTGAAATAAGAAACAAAATTTTGCAAGCCAAAGTTTTTTGCGGCATCCAAAAGAAAACGAGAGATGCCTAAACAAGTTCAGAAACCAGCACAGTGAGATACAACATAAAGATAACTGAACGATTTCAGTGCAGAGAGGCTAGTCCTCGTCCATTCCAGCAGGTTGCTGATCTCTCTTCCGACCACCAGCTGGTTTTGCCATTATAATCTGCAATTTGAACACCCAACCTCGTTAACTCGCCTGAATTTTCAAGAAAATGTTTGAATCTAAATTTAACAAAAAGCAGTTGCTAGGTTGTCATCAGGCTTCTTCTTTCTGCTGAATTACCTTGCCATTAGGATTTCTCTCTTAAAAAAAATGGAGCCAGTTCAAACTTTAAGCTAAATTTTTAGACCATTAGCTTGCAAGGAGAAACTTCAAAATTAGAAGCCAATGCTATGGAGGATCAAGACAAACATTTGGGATGATGTAATGAAAACTGCCTCTATTTTCTTCTCATCAGTCAATTGCCTCTATTGTTTGGACTCTAAAAGTGGTCTGATTAAAAATTTTCTTCGTGAAAGGAAAAAAAAAAGCCAAATTCCTTATTTACATTATTTATATTTTTTTTTACAATAATTTTTTCTCCCGGCAACAACCTTGACCTTTTAAAATCGGGTTAATTCAATTTTTAGTCTATTAACTATCACCTTAATTTCATTTTAGTCTAGAAACTATGTTTTATTTCTAAATGGTCTATTAACTTTCGAATTCATTTCAATTTCGTCTACCTGGTTATCTTTAACGGAAAACTTACTATTATGTTAGAGAACAATTAGTCCTCTAACTATATTTGTTTTGATCTTTTAGTTCTCAAATTTATATTTTTTGTAAAAATAGTTTTTATACTTAAAATTATTATTTTTAAGCTCTGATACCAGATTTTTATTTGGGTTTTCAAAACTTAATTCAGACTACTACTAACTAATGAATAACTGATAATATTCTAAAAATAGAAACAATTAATGAAAATTCCCTAAGAAGAATTAAAGAAATGAAAAAATCTCTTTTTCAAGAATTTGATTCTATTAAAGAAAGAATAAATAATGTTAAAAACTCTAGAAAATTGAAAGAAATAAAAAAAGACCTTGTTAGTAGTCTAATAGATCTAATTCCACACTAACTAAGCTTAACATATCAGCTATCCATTAGTTAGTAGTAGTTTAAGTTAAGTTCTGAAAACCTGAATAAAAATTCAGTATCAGAGCCTAGAAATAATAATTTTAAGTATAAAAGTTATTTTTACAGTAAATATAAATTTGAGGACTAAAAAATCAAAATAAATATAATTAGAGGACTAACTAATTCTCTAAAATAGTAAGTTTTCCGTGAAAGATAACCAAGTAAATGAAATTGAAATGAATCTGAAAGTTAATAAATCACTTAGAAACAAAACATAGCTTCTAGACTAAAATGAAATCAAGATGATAGTTCATAGACTAAAAATTGAATTAAACCTTTTAAAATCAGCTATAATCCCAAAATTTCACGGCAAAAGCCACGTGCATACCGTTAACCCGTTCCCTTTTACTTGCCTGGAACTCATTCAATGACTTGGACACCCATCTGTTGACATGGATTATCTATTTTGTGATAATCGAAATAAAAGAATAATAAATATAAAAGAATAAATGAAATTAAACAATAAAATGAAGAAAAAAAATGTGTAACATTAAAAATATTAAAATATTTAATAATAATTAACTAATAAATTTAATAAAATTAAAACTCATATTATATTAAATACATACATTTAATATTTATAATTAAATACTTGTCAAAAAAAATATTTATAATTAAATATTATAACATTATTAAAAAAAAAAGATATCTTTTTTTTTTTCGTAGGGAAAAAAAATTGCCGACAGCCACTTTGTTGCCTCTATCCACCTGAGATCAAACCAGGTTGTAGATCGGTGTAATCCATGATCCGATCAAGACCTATAGAGCCCTTTCGAGTTCTCTGGTGTTGTCTGGGGCTTGGTCCATTTTACAAAATTCTACACCTGTAAAATTGTTCTTGACATCTTTGAATCTTTTGTTTATATATTTATTTATTTTGAACTCGACCTAATTGTATGCTTATTTTTAATTTGCTTTAAGGAATTCTTGCTGCAAGATTGCCTTACCAGTGGGATTCAAAGAAATAAGACCACTGCCACCAAAAGATTTAAAAAGTTTCTTTTATAAATTTTTTATGAATTTTTTTACACAACTTCAAAAGTAAGTTTAATCCGATTCAATAAGTGTTTCTTTTATAAGAAAGTTAGTGAGTATCTGTCCATTTAAAAAGCAAGTATTTGATTCAATATTGTACTTTCAAGTACTTTACTTTATTCATCCATGATACTTTTATGGATTAAGGATAAGAAATGGTTAATTTCTGATACATGATTTAGGTTCTAAGATTTTAATTTGGTATAAATTTGTTTATGGGTTTGCAAAATTAACAATCAAAAAATGGGGATTTCTTACCATAACGGCAATTAAGGAAGAAGGAGATAACGGTATATTTTGTAAATTTAAAGTTCCTAGAGGTTGCGCCTGAAAGCTTTAAAGAAGCTTACGTGGCCCAATAAAAGGGGAAGTGTTGGCCGGAGAGTGCAAAAAGCGAATGCCCCTAGCACTGCTCTCTTTAGTAAAAGGCCAAAGAATGGTTCGCTCTGTGCTCACTACGTGGCTGCTTGTAAATTTAAAGTTGAATAAAGGGCTATTAGGGAAAAGAAAAGTTTTTTGTTTAGTTTTAAATGGAATCCACCAATCATGTTATTAAGAAAGAAAATGGTTGAGGAATAATTTATTGAAATATTTTTTATATAATTTTGTATGTTAATTAAATAATTAATTTTATTTATTTATTTAAAATTTATAATATTAATTTTATTTATTTATTTAATAATACATAAAAATTATAAAAAATTTATAATAAATAATTTCTCTATTACCACCTCATTAAAAAAAAGCCATATCGACACACCAATTGGCACGTGATTAAAATAATACCATATCAGTCAACAGGGAACGGAGGATAATGGTCACGTGATTTTACTGTGAAAGTTTGGATTTCTAGCAGATTTTGAAAAGTAAAAGGTGTTTATTATCAAAAAAATTTATTAAAAATATTATTAAAGTTGTTAATGGTAAAAAATATATGCAAAGTGTAAACAGGGAATTAAAAAAAAAAACAAAGATTAAAAAAAAAAACAAAGATTGGAAACCTTCTTCATACACAAATCAATTGAGATTATTTTTTTCTATTTCATTCGGGGGGAGGGAGGAGCGGGGGGATATGATCATGAAACTCTAGCTTTGAGTTAGAAGGTTGAGGACATGTTTCGGTTTCGCAGAGCTTTCAAGTAAGTTCGTTTAGAAGGCAATTGCTTTCTCATAAAATTTTCAATTTGTCAAAAATTTTGAATATAATTTTTAAAGTGACTTATAAAAAAAAATTTGTGCCACTAATTTCCAACAATGTTGCAAAATTTGCCAGACGATGGTACACGTTGAGCCATTACCTAGTGCCTAGGCATGCTTAGGCAATGCACTAACTAGGCGAGAAGGTATTTTTTTCTATTTTCTCTTTTCTAAAAATATGAAAAAATAAAAAAAGAGCTTAAGTATTAAACAAGGTCCTAAACTTTCATTAAATTTGTAAATGAGATTTTAAAGTTTTATTACACTCAAATAAGGTTTCAAATTCATAAACAATCTTAAATAAAGTTGCAATTGTAATATATACATATATATTATGAGATTATTTAAAGTTTTGGACTTTTTGTGTTATTGAAAGATAAAATAAAAAAGTTATTGATCATTTTGGATATTTAACCAATTAGAGTTAATTGTGTCAGTAACTAATTTAACAAACCTAACAATTTCCATCCAATTAGGATTTTATTTAAAAATTTCGATCACTTAAAGACCTTATTTGAACGTAATAAAAATTTAAGATCTCAATTGCAAATTCAATGAAATTTTGAAACCTTATACAATACTTTAGTCAAAAAAAGAAAGTTGTTCGGTCTAAAAATTTATCCTAATGTTTAAGAAGTGTTGCAAATATGGATTTTTTGTATTTAATACAATTAAGAGATTAAGAATGAAGATTGTTAAAATTTAAATTTAAAATTTTTAAATTTTACTACTCTTCTCAAAAAAAAAAAGCTATGGTCATTGGACCATAACGGTGGTTGGCATTGCAAAAATGGATTGGGTTGATGCATTGAGCCTAAAAACATATCATACTGTTAAAAAATATGTTGCAAAAAGCCTTAGGTGCCTAGCTCTCTAGGCAAAGTGGCCAACCACCACCTAGAGCCTAAGCGTAATCAAGGTGTGCATTTTGCAATGGCAAAAGGTGCAAATCACCCCCTCAACTCAACAACTGGTGGTAAATCACCCCCTCAACCCACTTCACGCGCAAATCAACCCCTCAACTCACATGCAGTGGCAAATCAATCCCCCTGTTAAGGCTGACATCATCATTTCGCTAACTTTTAACCGTCCGTTCATCCGCCCCTCCTCCGTGTTTGATGTGGCTTTTTTTGCTGAGATGGATGCTGAGACGGAGGTACCACCTGGACAAACCAACCCAAATCATCAGATCAAGCAGATAAAAAATTAATTCTTTAAATAATATCTGAAATTAT